GCCTAATCGACAGACAATCGCTCGTCTCCGTAGGCCCCCTTATCTTGTAAATTTTACGAAAAAGCCCGTAAGTGGGCTGAATCCTCAACCTCTTACAAACAAGGCGAAGACAAGAGGCGTGCATTATCAAAGACGGGGAGAAGCGCGCGACAGAACAGCCCAGACGCCGGTAAAGGGCGCACAACAAAGGGTCAATGAGAAATTTGAAACCCATTCTCCAGTACTCAGAGTACACACCAAACCAGCCTGGGGGGCAATTCCCAATTCGGCTCCGCGCAGAAGGGACTGCGTACTGCTAGTTGGGGGGCAACCCCAACCCGCGCACCAAGTCCGTCACCTCCTGTCGTCCATACACAGACATGTGGTCCGGCCCGCGGACCAGATTATCAGACGGAACTTGCACCGCTTCGAACATCTCCTCCTAGTCCAGAATGGTGTACGCGGCCCCCACCCCACGCATGCCGAGGCGGCTCATTGCCTCCGTGACACGAGACACGTAAAGCGGCTCTGAGGAAATCTCCGATGTCCCCGGCGCGTTCACAGGAGCAGCACCGGACCCGCTCGCACGATCGCGTCGGATTATTAACACCCCCCGCGCACGCGAACTTGCCTCCCCACGGTTCGCCTCACCCGCGTCGGAGAAGCCATACGTCGGATCCCGGCCAGAATCGACGTCATACGACGGCGTCGCTGGAGCACCGCCGTCATCTACTCCGCCGTCGCGATGATTGTCGGACTCGGCCAAAGCCAACGACGGATCGGAAGATACAGGAGAGAAAGGAGAAAGATTACCTTCTTCGTCTGGTACAACCTCGATCTCACGGTTCGCATCGCTGCTGGCCATTGTACTTTCAAGAGAATACTACGAACAATCTGGAGAATTAAGGTCGTCGGAGAAGGAGAGGAATCTTTTCGGCAGAGGAAAAACGATAGAGGAGAGAACACAAGAGATGGGAAAAGTAACCCCCTTCAGTAAAAAAGGGGAGTACTTATAACCTACAATGGGGTAACCGAAGAGTCCAAAGCACATCGGGAACCGGAAACGTCAGAACATTTTGAATTTCAAAAGCCACCGCCCAAACGAGCGAACAACAGAGCGCCACGTCATCACCTACCTATCGTAGGGGATAGCCGGTGACGTCATAAAGTACGTACACCGCCTGGGGGGCATGGTGTACCCGCGGAACCTAAAAAATATCCAAAAAACCAAAGCTACGCCGCGCAAAGCCATCAAAAGCGACCGGGCCGGACGCGCAAGACTAAAACAGGCGGCACTCACCGAATGGGTCACAGGCATGATGTACACGCGGAACTGAAAGGGAACCCAAAAACCAAGCCTATGCCGCGCAAAACCACTGAAGGCGCAGTAGAGCAAGCGAGGAGCGCGCACTACCGGGTCCGACGCGCAAAACCAAAACAGGCGGCATTCACAGAATACCCTCTGATGGGGGGCAATTGTTGGGGGTGCGGCTCAGATCCTGCCGCGCGAGTAGAACGACCCAGAGACTCCCGCTCCCGCGAGTGCAGACGTGCCCGCGAGCAAATGGAGCGTTGAGCGGCGCCGTTTCACTTTACCCAAGCCGACACCGTTTCACCCTGCACAATCCGTCGTCGTTTCTGGTTAATTCGCACTGGGAGAAAGAGCCGAGAGGAACGGCGCCGTATCCTCTGAAGGAGGAGTCACATCCTAGTCCTAGTCCTAGGTATAATTATGGCCTAAAGCATGGCCTATGTGTCTTACACATGTAGTGGTCTTGTCGCAATAAATATCCACTTACCACAATGTACTATAAATAGAGCATTTATTATGGTAGGTAAGAGGATCGACTTTTTCGACTCTCTCTCATAATACAACGACTTATCTCTCTAAGATCCTATTCTCTCAACCTGCTTCCCATTCTCTATTCTTGGCCATCAACAGATTGGGGATTCACCTGCCCATTCTTCTACCCCACATTCACAGAGTCTCACTCCTACCCTAAGCTAGATTCAAACAAACTTCATTGCTAAAAATTCTAATTGTACTCAGGTACATTAAGTTCAAAATATAATAAAATATGTGAAGAGAATAATATGTTTGTTTAGTTTCCTACAATCACAATTTTAACCATCCCGATTACATTAGAAGCCGACTTGTTCATTGTATGGTGAAAACTAAAGATGATGATATTCATCGAAGAGAATGATTCACTTTACCATCCCAGTGTTCAGTTTTATTTTTTAGTGTCTTTGTATCCTTTTTTTGTTTGTTCTTTTCTTTAGGTAACACATTAGCGTTTAAGTTAATAGATCAACACTGAAATACAACCAATTGGCTTGCATGAAAGGAAAACTTAAAAGGAATGAGAAAATAAAACTGTTTTTTTTATCAAAACAAGATAGCTCTATGCTTTTACATAATACTTTTTCCCAGTTTCTTTTTAAACAAAATTATAATAAATAAAATCACAGGTTTGCAACTTTAATCATGTCGCTTTTCAATACAAAGTTCCTTCCTAACTCAATTTTTATTTTAAAAGCAGAATACCATGGTAGAACAATAAATCACGTGGAACTTTGAAAAGGATTCAAAATAGGGTTCAAGAAATAGAAATTGGTTTATAAAATGGTGTAATCTAAGAAGGAGGTTAGGTTCAACGGCGTTTGATGAATGGATATAATGATAACCTGATAAAAGTGGTCTTCTATGCCATAGACTGAAGTGTGTTTGTGAGCAGGGTTAGTGCCAGAATAAGAGTGGGCTTTTTATTGACGTTGCACTAGAATTTTGCTCACCAATCTCTAAGTTCAACTAAAGAGCACGGTTGGATTGGTGGTGTCTTGAGATTAGCTAAGGTTGGAATTGATGGTGGTGTCGCGTCTACTTTGTTCTTGACTTGTGTTTGGGTGAAGGTTATATTGTCAAACTTTGGACTTAGAAGTGAGATTGCTTTCATTAATCAAGATTAGAATCTCTCAAAATAATATATACTATATTCAGACGATGATATAAAGATTTAATTAGTCGAACCATGAACAAAATCACGCATCACGTCTCATATCAGTTCCTGTCAGTGTTGTTTTAATATTGCTCTTCTCCCTCACATCTCAAAGAAGCCATGACTTTTTTATATGAGGTAGCTTTACCACAAGTTGCTGTCAAATTTAGCTTAACTGAAATAAAATTAAAGTTTGCTACTTGATTGTGCGAAAAGTACCAATTTTCATAAGTAGGGGACCCCTTTCATACAACAAGCAATTGATTTGGTAAGCCATATTTAGGTAGTATAATCATAGCTTCTGCCAAATTTTGCTTAATTAAAATTAGAATTAAGTTGGCTCTTTAATTGTCTCCCTATTACTGGAAATGTCAATTTTCATGTTAAAAAGTGACATTTCTCGTTTAACATGAAGTTTAACTCGATTCTATATTAAAATCACATTTTTATATACCATACTACTACAAATATTAAGTTTCGCATTTCTAAAAGCCATATGGATGAATACCCTACTTTGTCATGGACTTCACATAGAAAGACTATTTTTGTCCAAACTTTTTTGTGAAATTTGGTCAAAGTTATACATCGTTCAAGTTAATTGATGGTCAATCTACGAGTCGGGCTAGTTAAATTGATTGATTTATTTTTAAATTTTGAACATGTCAGGAATTTTTTAAAAAAATTGGCAATAAATGATGTGTGCAATTAAAACCAAATTAGAGTATCAACCCAAGTCATATGATTATTTAATTCAAACGCTTCAAAAGACAATGGGCAAGGCCAAAATGACGAACTTGTTACCTATAGTAGATCTTGCAAAATCGGAAGAAACCTTCACCAAATCTGATAAAAGATCAATGATTAAAGGGATAATAATACCTTAAAATATCCAAATTTTAACCTATAGTAGATCTTGCAAAATCCGAAGAAACCTTCACCAAACCTGATAAAAGATCAATGATTAAAGGGATAATAATACCTTAAAATATCCAAATTTTACGCAAAAGGACTATTTAAGCAATTTGTTTAGGAATGTCCATCCTGCCTAGATTAAGATCTATAAAGACTAATTTGACCTAATTCGAGGATTGATCGTTAAGTTAGACAGTCAATATAATTCCTTGAGTAATGGTTAACAAGCCATTTTATAATATAGAAACATTAAAAATTCTCAAATTCACATCTTTTTAAAATTTTAACTTATTACAAGTTGAACCAAAAAAGTTAAAAAATAAAAGGGTAAATTGCAAATTTGATCACTAGAATTACTTAGAAAGTTCACGTTTGCCACTAAACTAATTTATTCCAAAGATAGTCACTCAAATTAGTTCAACAGTTCAAGTTTGATCACTCTCCGTTAGTCTCCGTTAATTTTATCTAACATGCCAGTCAACTTTGAGAGTTGGCCGTTAAATAAGAGACGTGACAAATAAAAAATATTAAAATTTAATCTTTTGAAAATTCCACCTCAGTATCACAATAAATAAAAATAATAATTGCAATATTAAAAGATGCTAAATTGGGTACGGTCTTCTTCTCTGTTTCCTCTACTCTTCCCCTGAGACACCTAAGCTCCTCCAGGCTCCATCAAGCTGGGATCAAACTCATTGACCTCAAAATTTCCGTCATGGCCTCGTTTTCGTCCACTATCCTCACCCTCTATGCCACCGACGAAGGTGGTAGAGGAGGTTTCTTCAATTTGAGTGTAGTCGAGGAGGGAGAGGAGGAGTTGACAACGACGGTGGACGGTGGAGTTGAACGCGATAGAGATGGAGTTGGCGACGATGGCAGGGAGGGTCAAGGGGGAGGTGAAGGCGGAGAAGGCAGAAAAGAAGAAGGGTGGTGATAGAAGAGGAGGGCGACGAAGAAGGAGAAGAGAGCGACGACGCGAATTTGACGAACTAGGGAGTTTTGACCAAGTGTATGGTTGTACCTACCTATGGAGGCAGTTGTGCTGCTGGATTCCATGGCGGCGGCTGTGGAAGGGGGGACGGAAGGCAAAGAGGGGGGCGGTGGCCGCTATGACATTTTCTTAATTATATTATATGTATGATTCCACAATTCAATCCATCCTCCCTTCCCACGAGAAATCCAAAAAACTCTCCACCGCCGCCATCGTCCTAATCTCTGCCGGTGCATTCCTCGCCCTCCTCCTCCTTCTCTTACCGTTATGCTGCTTCCTCGGGTAAAAGAATTTTAATTCCATGTAATTATTTATTTTCGGTGGTTGATAAATTGATAAATTTGTTAACTTATCGTAGCGAAGATTAATCAAGCTAGAAACGAAATCACACAAGTATTTACGTGGTTTCCTTGATCGATGTGATCAAGACTAGTCCACGGCCGAAGCTATCAACTCTCGTATTAACTTACTTACGGCATTGTTACAGGTTACAATATATATATATGTCCATAACCCTAGCTAGCCGACGTAGGGAAGAGGAAGAGGGTCGGCTAGGGTATTTAGTCTAACCTAGGCTTACACTGCTACATACAATTACATAATGGGCTTAAGCCCACGTACATGAGCATGCATAACTCAACACCCTCCCCCAAATTGATGGAGGTCTCGCAACATCAACTTGCCCGCGAGATAAGAATGTCGACTAGCAGTGAAGGCCTTCGTCAGCAGGTCTGCAATCTGATCCTCAGATTTCACATAGTAAATGCGAATGATACCATCTCGAACCAAATCCCGAATATAATGCACATGAACCTCAATGTTCTTTGTACGATCATGCATAACTGGATTGGTAGCAATCCGAATAGCACTGGTGTTGTCAACATATAACTCCATCGGAATTGCACATGTAACACCAAAATCTGTAAGCAGTCGCTGAAGCCATTCCAGTTCAGATACCACATCTGACATAGCTCTGTACTCTGCTTCTGTGGATGACTTAGAAACCCGATCCTGCTTCTTACATCTCCAAGAAATGAACGATCCACCAAGACGAACACACCAGCCTGTCGTAGAGCGACGTGTATCCATACAACCAGCATAATCACTATCAGAAAATGCCTGCAACACCAGAGAACCTGTCGGAGGGAGAAACAACCCAACATCTCGAGTACCCTGGAGATAGCGAAGAAGTCTATGAACAGCAGCTAAATGAGCAGTCCTGGGAGCTGACATAAATTGAGCAACGATCTGAACAGCATAAGCAATATCGGGATGAGTCGAGGTAAGGTAGATAAGACTCCCTACAATACTCCGATACTGCTTACCACCATCAGGCAATAAGTCCCCTGTCTCCCTCCCCAACTTCACATTAAGCTCCATAGGTGTAGAAACGGGGACACAGTCAGAGAACCGAGTTGAATCAAGAAGATCCGCAATATACTTCTTCTGACCCAGAATAATACCAGCAGGAGACCGTTGGACCTCAAGTCCAAGGAACTAAGAGAGAGACCCCAGCTCTTTCAACGTGAAGGACTCATGTAGCCCTTTAGTGAAAGCCTTGATCCCAACTTCATCATCACCAGTAACTATCATGTCATCGACATGCAGAAGAAGAAGAACAATATCGCGCTCAGAGCGTCGAGTGAACAAAGAGGGATCATTCTGGCTTTGCTGAAACCCAAGACTCAACACAGTAGAGTGAAACTTATCAAACCATGCACGCGGGGCCTGCTTAAGACCATATAGTGAGCGCTGAAGTAGGCAGACAGGATCAGGAATGTCCGTCTGTGGAAATAGCCAGGAGGAAGCTCCATATAAACCGTCTCCTTGAGATCGCCATGCAGAAAGGCGTTCTTGACATCAAGCTGGTAAAGGGGCCAGCGCCGAACCGAGGCCACCGCGAGGAGAGTCCGTACAGAGACCATCTTGGCCACCGGTGCAAAAGTCTCATCAAAATCGACACCAAACTCTTGACTGAAGCCCTGAGCAACAACCCGAGCTTTGTGACGCTCTAACGTACCATCAGGAAGAAATTTCAAAGCATATACCCAGCGAGACCCGACCACCGGATGATCAAGAGGACGAGGAACAATAACCCATGTCTGATTAGCAAGAAGAGCGCGAATCTCGTCGGTCATAGCATTATCCCACTCCGGATGTCCATGTGCATGTGAGTAACGGGTGGGAACAACAAGAGCATCAACGCCATAAGAAACATAATCACTATGACGAGGAGGAGGTACCCCAAGAGTGGAACGCGACGAGCAACGAGGAGGTGGTGGCAGGTCCGGCGAAGGAGGTGGTGAAGGCGGAGACGGCGGCAAAGGTGGTGTGGTGGTGGGGAGGGAGGCGGGCTATCATCAGGGTGCGGGTCCAGATCAATGAGAGCATCATCAACATCATCAGTGTCGGAGAAAGATGGAAGTCCAAGGGATGTATCAAACAAGGGAGTAGTAGTGGACGACGCAGAGTAGAACATGAGGTTCTCTAGAAAGACGACATTACAGGCTATACGAATGCGACGAAGATCAGGATCATAACACAGATACCCCTTATAGATGTCGCTATACCCAAGGAAGGCACAACGAGCAGTCTTAGAGGTCAACTTAGTACGCTCGGAACGAGGGAGAAGCACAAAACACATACAGCCGAAAACACGAAGACGAGAGTATGGAGGATGTTTAGCAAACAGCTTAAAATAGGGACTCGACTGACCAAGAACCGGAGTAATCTGATAATTGATCAACCTAATAGCTGTAGCAACAGTTTCAGGCCAGAAAAAGGAAGGTACATGGGACGAGAGAAGAAGGGCACGAGTAACCTCAAGAACATGTCTATTTTTGCGTTCTACCATACCGTTTTGCTGAGAGACGACTGGACAAGACTTATGAGTAAGAATTCCTAGGGATGCATAAAGATTGAGCAAAGGTGTGGAACTAAACTCACCGCCAGGATCAGAATGGACTACACGAACAGTTCTATCAAATTGAGTCTTAATCATTTGCAAAAATTCAGTAGCAATGGGCAAAAGATCGGATTTGAGACGAAGAAAATACACCCATGTAAATCGAGTGGCATGATCGATAAACAATGCAAAGTACTTATAACCATGTCTAGAAGTCACCGGACTAGGTCCCCAAAGATCAGTATGTATAAGATGGAAAGGCTCGGTAATAACTGTAGTGCTCGAAGGGAAGGATATACGAGTGGTTTTAGCTTGAACACAATTTTGACAAGTAAAATCCGACAACCGATCAATTTTAGTAGTTGAGCCAAATAGCTGTTGACGAAACATGGTTACAAGTCTACCAGAATTGGGATGTCCCAATCGAGCATGCCACAACTGAAATTTTTGATCACTAAGACTCGAAAAGACAGGAAATGACGGTACCCTAGACACCGAATTAGAAGCCGACAAAGAACAAGGAGATGATGTGACGAGCTCATCCATTAAGAAGATCCGACCATGTTTGCTACCCTTCCCGAGCTCCCTCCCCGTCTTCATGTCATGTACAACACAACCAGAAGGTGCAAAAGTAACCCGGCAACCTTGTTCAGTAAGTTGGCCCACCGAAATCAAATTAGGCACCAAATTAGGAACATGAAAAGTATTAGGCAGCCGAACATGATCATCATTAACTGATCCAACACCAGAAATCTGAAGTTTATTACCATTAGCTACTTGTAACGAAAGGCCATCAACTGGTTGTACCTTTTTAACAATACGACGATCACCGGTCATGTGATTAAAGCAAGCAGAATCAATAATCCATTTTCGAAATTTACCTGTGACCTGAAGACTGGCAAAAGCAGAGGATATGGCCTTGTTCACCATATTTTCGAGAGCAGCAGGAGTGACAAGCACTCCATCGGTAGAGGGGGCTGGCGCAGTGGCATAAGCTGGGCGAGATCGCCCACGAGAATTATCATAGTGCCCAGTACGACCACCGCTAGAACCCGGATTATCAACATCACCCATCCGTTCCTGCAGCAACTCACAATCGGAAATTATATGGCCACGTTTCTTGCAATAAACGCAAAAGTTACGCTTACGACACAGCTTTTTGGTATGCCTCTTCTCATGACAATGGTGGCATTCCACCTCCGAGAGAGGACGTCGAGGTCCAGGTCGGTACGCTGCATATGCCGCGTCATGCAGCTCGTCATCAGCAGCTGGAGCAGACTGCTGGGCCTGCGCTGGGGAGCGAGAGACAGCAGAGTTGGGACAAGCAGCAGCAGTTTGGTGCGTGGAGCGTTGGACGCTGAACGCCGCGACGTCCGCCCTTCCTGGTCGAGCATCGAGAGCTGCCTGCGTGCGCAGCCGGGTTTCTTCTCGGATCAAGTCCGCCAAGATTCCTTCCTGCCGAAGAGAATCACGATTCAGGAGGGTTGCCCGCAGCGACTCGAATTCGGGGCGGAGCTTCATCAAAAACTGCAGCAAACGGATCTTCGTCTTCTCAGCCTGGAGTTCGGCGGGAATCGGTTGCGTCAGAAGGGACGCCGTGAACAGGTCTTGCTCAGTCCAAAGGAGACTCGCCGCATTGAAATACGACGCCACATCGAGCTCGCCCTGATGGAGGTTGGCCAGCTCTACCTCGAGTTCGAACGGCCGATTGGCGCTGGTAGTGGAATAGGTCTCTGCGAGCGATTTCCACATGGCCGCAGCGGTTGGAAGAAGACGCAGTCCCAGGATGATTGAAGGATCGACTGAATTCATGATCATGGAGCGGACCCGAGCATCGTTCTGAAGCCACTTCAGCACGTTGGCTTTGGTTGAGGGCGGAACAGTGGGTCTGGCCGAGGTGCCATCAAGCAATCCGAACAGCCCTTTGCCTTCGATGAAGACGCGGAATTGAAACTCCCATAACGAATAATTCGTGGAGTTGAGACGAGTAGATATCCGATCAGAATCCGAACTGGTGAGCTCTGATACCATGTTAACTTATCGTAGCGAAGATTAATCAAGCTAGAAACGAAATCACACAAGTATTTACGTGGTTTCCTTGATCGTGTGATCAAGACTAGTCCACGGCCGAAGCTATCAACTCTCGTATTAACTTACTTACGGCATTGTTACAGGTTACAATATATATATATATATATATATATATATATGTCCATAACCCTAGCTAGCCGACGTAGGGAAGAGGAAGAGGGTCGGCTAGGGTATTTAGTCTAACCTAGGCCTACACTGCTACGTACAATTACATGATGGGCTTAAGCCCACGTACATGAGCATGCATAACTCAACAAAATTATTCCCACCTAATTTAGGCTGTGGAAGGGGTGCAGAAGACGTTGAAGACTGGGAGCGGGAGCCATGGAGTGGATGCGATGAGTGTCGCTAGAGTGGGATGGAGGAACGGGGAATGTATTTTTTTGGGAGAAGCAGCAACGAAAGAGATGGGGGGATGAATTACTATTATTTATTTTTAATTAATTATGATAATGAGATAGAATTTTCAAGAGATTAATTTTATTATATGCCACGTCACTTATTTAACGGTCAATTCTCAGAGTTGAATGCCACATCAAGTAAAATTAACGGAGACTAACGGAGAGTGACCAAACTTGAACTGTTGAACTAATTTGCGTAACTACAGGTGGAATAAAATTATTTTAATGGCAAACGTGAAATTTTTAAGTAATTCTAGTGACCAAACTTGCAATTTACCTAGGAATGGCAATGTGGCAGGTCCGAGGCGGGTATCTCGATACCCATACTCGCCCCCTGGCAGGTCGGGTCCAAGTCGGGTAATTTATCACGGGGCGCGGGCGGGACAAGTCGACCCAATGAGTATCTAATTTATGTGAAAAATATTAGAAATATTCGTTATTTTTATTAAAAGACCAAGAAAGAAACCATAATACAGTGGGGAAAAGGAGAAAAAACTGTCTGTTCTGTCCCCGAGTCCGACATGGTCAGTTGGTCCCCCACCCTCGCAGATTTCACTTCAGCCATCGAATCCCAGACGCCGTACCTGGAGACTCCACTTCAAGAAACAGGGCGATCTTCTTCAGCCAGTAGCTTTCCTTTGTTACGTAGGGAAAAAAGATACACATCAGGGATCGTCGCTCTGTAACCGCCTCTGTGCGGCTTCGATGCCGATTCCCTTCTCCGTCTTGGTGGTGGGATTTCGTCTGGCGCTTTAATCGCCCTGAAACATCTCCTCCATGGTCTGTTCATCTCTCATGGCCTTGGTGGAGCATTTGGGTGATGCGAACATGGTTCCGGCTGTCCAACAGGAGAGCTGTCTCTCTTAGGGAATTGGCCAATTCTGGCGCTTCATCGGCGATGGTCGATTTCGGATCTCCATGGAACTCAACTGTTCGTCGGTAAATGGGGTTGCGGTTACGGGGATTTTAAAGGAGTGGCGGTCTGGGCTCCTACGGCGAGTCTTTCCGGCAAGGTTATTGCGCTACGGGTTTTTTTGCAGTTACAACTCTCGACAGGCACGTTTTTATTTTCCAAAATTTTTATTTCTTTATTTCTTCTCATATTTTTTAATGGTAAGCAAAAAATGTTGTGGAGCCTTAAATCGTGGCTAACCTATGGTGTGTTTTTGTGGTGATTCCCAATTGGTCATACGACGAGCAATGGAGAATGATGTCAATAATGATCTAGGTGGCGTAGTGCTTGAAGAAGTGCGAGGTTGAAGACCTTTTTTGCATTTAATTATTTTTGTTTTTGCTCTTCGTAGTACTAACAGGGCTGCCCATTGCGTGGCATAAACTGGCCCTTGCATCGGTAGCAACCCATTTGGTTGACTACCGCTTTTTCATTTTCATCGCATTGTAATACCCTATCTATTACGATCTATCTATGACAAAAAAAAACCATAATACAGTGGCAAATCCAGGGGGTGGCCACCCCGGGCCACGACCCAGACCTCCCCTGGATCCGGAGCTAGTATAACCGTTATAAGTTTATCGATTTTAGTTATTAGGCCCAGTGTTATTTTATAATAAAATTGTGTGTAATTAGGAAAATTGATAAGATGGACATATTCAAATCACAACTCTAAATTTTGCCTGAAATTCTAGCTCCAATGAGCGATAAATTTCTCGCGAATTGGTTAACTATTTTATCTTAAAGAGAGTATGCTATTGGTATAGATGTAAACTCCATTATTGGTGAATTCACTATATTATAATGTAAAAGATCGACGTGTATAATTGATATTGTAAAAAAAATTGTAATTTTTTTACGGTATCTAATTTTTTAATGAAATTCGGCCCAGTGCTTTACTATGTCTTGGATCCGCCGCTGCCATAATATGATGAAATGTAGTTAAATTATTGGGAAAATTAAAGTTTTCACTTATTTACAAGTTTATTATAGCTAAAATATGAGATAATAAGAGGAAAATTCTAAATAATTTGACTAAAATTACGTGTAATTTAGGCAAGAACGTGTCAAGACTCAAGAATGGAGCGGGTCGGGACATGTTAGGTCGATGAGAGTTACCCATGCCTGCCCCACCCCGCCTACGAAGCGGGTCGGATCCGCCCCAAAACAGGCCAAGCAAATCGGGTATAATGGGCCAGGTCAAAATTGCCATCCCTAAATTTACTTAAAAATAAAAATACTTTTTTCTTCCAATACCTTATCTCCTCATCTTTCGACCCACCATCCATTTCAAACCCTTCCTCCAAAAAATGCTTAGTCTAGGAGGAATAGTTCAATCCAACGATTCAAGTATGCAGAAAATAGTATTTAGTAGGGTATGATTTTGTTTCTTGATTATGTTCGGTTCTTTCACTCGAGAATTGTGTATCTTTTTTATGGATAACTCGAATTGATCCATAAAGAGAAACTTTGTTTGGAGCCACCCTATCTTTATGTATATTTAGAGCCACCTTATTATTATTTACTCAATATAATTTTAGTTTGATTATCTAATCCCTAGCCAAAGAAACACCCATAAATAGAAGAAGACGACATAGAGGAATCAAAATACCTGGTAAAAAGGGATAAAGACAAGAAGGTTGAAACGGTGGATAAAACTCTAATTTTGATTTTTACGTGACAACACGGGATCGAGATCAAGAAAGAAAAAAGTGAGAAATTGACTGTAATTTTGATCTTATTTGACGGATATATGTATAGTAGAAAATCCAGAGCTCAGTTAGGAAGATTAAAAGAAGCATATTTTTTTGCCTACCTTTCGCCACGTAAGCAAAACACCTGTTTTCAAGGGTCCCAACTCCAATAAATTAATGAGTAATATTTAATTTCTCAGCAAATTCTATTTTCTCCGGTCTTTTCCAACTTTGTGGACGAGATTTTTCCCCTCTCTCTTTCTCCCCAAAAAAATCCAAAAATTAATATCTTTGAAAAAAACCTCAGTGCAGAAATCGAATATTCACTAAAATCTCCTTCCCAATCTCCTCCTTACTACCACATCAATGGGTCTCCTCCTGTCTCCCAACTAGCTCACTTCAACACCACACTTCTCCTCCCAACAAAAATAAAAAAATAAATCCACTAAGTTGAGTAAACAGTGAAAACCCACCGGTTAGACTGTTAAAATTAGTTACTTTTCATTTTTCTACTAATTTACAGCTTATTTACATCTTTGAAACTCTCTGCATTACTAGAATAACTCGAGTCTAGTTTCACACCAAAAAAATTGACGAGATATATAAATTATTACCAAAAAAATTCACCTCATCTAGTAAGTAAGATGAGATACAAACACAACAAAAAAAAAGAGATAAAAAGAACATTAATCGTCTATATTTTTGTGGATGACAACTAATAGGCAAAAGCGTTTAGGATAATTATGTAATTACTAATTAGCATCAGGTTTATTTAACAAAAGGAGAAAAAAAAGTGGTTGATAAAAAATATCCTAAATAATGTTATCCAAAATGTGGGGCCGACGGGTGCGCCAATATCTTCCACAAGAAAACACACAGCAAAGTAGGCGGAGAGAGAGAGCCGATAAGAAGAAAAGAAAGGAAAAAAGTGATGCCAATGCCAAACCCTCACGAGCAACTGCCGCGTGTCCCCGCCTCTCTTCCATTCTCAGCCACAAGATGTTTCTCTTCTCGAATTTCCCCTCCCCCAACTAATGAAAAAACAACAATTCGAGACCAAAAATTAAATATTGCTTGCTGAGGTGTCACCCTCCTTTGCCTTTCCTTTTTTCCGCCCTCTCCTTTTTTATTTATTTCACAAACCCTCCCTTGACCCGAACCATTTCCTTTTACATCTCTCTCCATGTTTCCTCTCCTTTACTCCGCTCTTTGATCCTTCCCTTCTGTGTACTTGAGATTTTCCCCGGAAAATTTCTTTGTGTTTTCCGTGCGGCCAATCACTACTCTTCGCTGTCGGCTGCTTCTCGACCTCCGGGAGACTTTTCCTCTTTAGTTAATCGCCGAAACCAGAGTGCCTGTTGAGAGATAGAGAGAGCTACTTCCTCTTCTTCTGCTGCTGCTACTTCACCTTTCCTCCCGAGTAGTGGAGATCGGATTCTATTTTTTCTCATGTGAGTTATCTCGACTTCGATTGCTGATTTCTTCTTCTTTTCCTGCTCTGACTTCGTCGGTGATGTATTCATGTACTGATTACGGCGACTCTGTTGTTTCTTTACAGAGATTTGCGAATCTGAGGCTTCAAATCGGAAGATTAGGTCCAGTTCCATGGCTGCTTCTCAGGTACTTTTAAAAAAAAAAGTATTTTGCTATCTTCTGAAAGTTAATTTTAGCTTATTGCCGCTTGGCTTATGTCAGAACTTGCTTACGTCAGAATTAATTAAGTACTCCAAGTGATTCCGGATTCCTCGTGACATGATAAGCAGAATCCTGTAGCGGTTAATCTTAGCCTTGATTACAGAGATTATCTGTTCAATTCGATTGTTTCTTTGACACTTCTGTAATTGGAGACGAGAATCAGTTTTCATAGTTAAGATTTAGGCGTTTGAAGCTACGTTTCGGCTGATGTGAACTGTGATTTCGCTACTGCTGCAATTGATGCGTGAGATCTTTGGCCTGATTCGGTGAATTGATGCGGGTGTTTGCAGGATCAAGTTCAGGAAGCTGACATGTCGGGTTCAGGAGGTGAATGCTACGACGACAATGGTGGGGAGCAATTGATGGAATTGAATTCATTTGGGGGTCTTCAGCAGACTCCCAAATTGAGGAAGCCTTATACTATCACTAAACAGAGGGAGAAGTGGACGGAGGAGGAACACCACAAGTTCCTTGAAGCTCTCAAGTTGTATGGCCGTGGCTGGCGTAAGATTCAAGGTGTGAATAGTACCCTTTTGAACTCTAGCCACTCACTTGAATCCTCCCAGCAACTTCTATGTGTGCCAAATCAATATCAGTGGATGAGGTTTTGTTATTATCCCTCTTGCAGAACATGTAGGCACCAAAACCGCTGTTCAAATTCGAAGCCATGCCCAAAAGTTTTTCTCCAAGGTCGGCCAGCTTCTTATTTTTGACCTACTTCCACTGATCAATTAACTGTATAACTGAATGTGAATGGTAAGCAGAATGGGAGCTCTTCTGAACAAGCAGTGTCGATCTTATTTCAGGTGGTGCGGGAGACTACTGGTGTTTCAGAGACCTCCTTGAAGCCAATTGAGATACCCCCTCCTCGTCCAAAGAGGAAACCGTCGCATCCTTATCCTCGTAAATGCATTGATGCTCCTGAAAGATCCGAGTCCCCAAGTTTGTTGGCCATGGAGAATGGAAACCATTCTCCTACCTCTGTCTTGTCTGTGGTTGCCTCGGAGGCATTGGGCTCTCCAGCTTCGGGGTTGCTAAATCACTGCTCTTCGCTGACCTCATGTACCAGCGATGTTCAGTCCTTCAGCTTATTACCTCATGAGAAAGATAGTGGGACCTTTGTATCAGATGTCTCTCCCCCAATGACCGAAACGTCTCTAACGGTAAGATAACAATCCTGTGTTCACGTTGAATGAATTGCTCCCCTAGATTTTAAGTTGTCGATTTTGATTGCCTTATGCTCTTATCCATTTCGTTCCAGAATTCGGAGGATGGCTCCAAGAATCCATCTTTCTCTGAAGTAGAGGCAGCAGTCCCAATGGCACGTTCCAAGAGCTTCAAGTTGTTTGGGAGGACGGTGTTGGTTACAGAGTCTGAGAAGTATGTGGCAGCGGGCAGCCAACCAAGTGTTGACATCAACCTTGATAATGCCGAACAGAAGTCCTCAGACATCAAATTGTCACTGGGTTTAGCGAACCATGACTGTAATTGGTTGCCTTCGTCTCGTCTCCACATGGAGGTTAAGGGAGAGAACACTGGCATCTCAGAAGCTGCTTGTTCAATACCACCATTGACTTTATTTGATGCACTGTCGAAGAGTCCTCTGCAGTCATTTACGGGGGACAATTCAAAGGAGAAGGATGTCGTGGAGGAAAGGTCTTCTTCCGGCTCAGATGCAGGATCAACAAGTGAAGTAGAGAAAAGAGGGAGATCCATGGACGTAGGGGAGTCCCAATGCCAAATATTACCCCGTGTGGAGGAAATGTTTGCCAGTAGTGTGAGGAGCAATTCGACGAGGGGTTTTGTGCCATACAAGAGGTGCCTAGCAGAGAGGGACATGAAATCGTCATTGGTTGCTTCGGAAGAGCGAGAGCAGCAAAGGGCTAGAGTTTGCTCTTAGCCCTTAATCTCTCCCATTTGCCCTTTGTGTATAAAGGTTGAAGAAGAGGAGCTAATTTTGATGGCGGTGAAGGCCCTGAAGGAGCTATGTAGTTAACGTTATAGAGACCCTGTAGAGCAGAAAACTGATTTTTGGTCTTTATAGTCTCTTCAATTGAAGCAGCGGCTTGCAAAAGTTGGCGGCTTTTAGCACAGAAGAGGAGACGGCAAAGATTTGTGTGATGATAGTGTGGATACAGGAGAGCTCCCCTACTAATTGTAAATTATTCATCGCTAAGGTTCTGTTTGCTGCAGAAGCTGGATGATCGGATCGATCTTCTCTTGGTCCTGCGCCTGCTGTTGCTGCTACGAGTTTAGGGCCGGAAAAGTCCTGCAATTTAACTTCAGCTGTTTTGGCTCGAATAAGTTGATCTGTTGGCTTTGTTCGCCAAGTTTGACTTCCCTTTTTCTTGAATGATCCTTTGTTGCATACCATAACTCCCTGTGTTTTCATTTCTTCAGCCTACTGTTGTTACATTCTTAGCCTTCCTCTCTCTCTCTCTCTCTCCTCAGGTTGTTCCTTCAGATTCAGAACACTTTCAGAATCCTTTTCCAGTTGTGTATGTACCAGTTTTGCGCGTTCCGAGTTTCGTATTACACCCTTCATGTTGTTTGTTGAAACTCTTGAACGATGGTTCTGTTGAGGGCAGCTTGTCAAAAGAATAGGAGCTGATTATGGAGATGATATTCGGCAAGCAAAACTGGGAAGCTATTCAAAATGATTACCATATCAAGATCAACAAGATATGGAAACTCTGGTGCAACGGCTACTGACGAATTGAGCATAAAAGAGAAGGGAATTGCAAGGATTGAACACTTTTCTGGAGATCAATTTCACGGGAGAACAAAGGAGTTTTGTTAGGGTGTGATTGATAAGAAAAGAGTTCGAGTACAGTACTGGAGAGTGGTTGTACTTGAGGGAAGCTGGATAGCTTGTGAGTGTGTAGATTAGAATACGATCAGTCGACCTGGATAGGAAGAGTGATCTCGACCTCTCTGTTTCGGAGCTACAAACTAAATCCTAGTGAATTGTCGGAAATCACAAGCGTGATTATCCGTCCGTGGAGTAGTCAGTATTGGGAACATCTTTAACCCAATACTGGAAACCACGTAAAAGGTTCTGTGTTCTTCGATTCTGCAATATTCTGTTTGTGGCTTTACTGTTCTTGTGTTCTGCAGAATTGAGAAGAACCCCAGGTACAGGGGAACGAGTTGCACGGCTGAGTCAACTTCGGTTCAACCAATAAACAAAACGCATCACTTTGTTGATTAAGGCTCAGTTGAGTAAGAAACTGAGTGGGCTTGAGGATCAGGCCCACCGTGGTTCTTTGTTTCATTAACTGACGAAAGATTGAGTTGTCTAATTTGGTTTCTGGTTCTACTCTCTATCTCTTGTCTCTCACCTGTTCTACCAAAAGTTTGAGTTAGGGTTTCAGGTCGAGAAAGAAAGAAGACCATCTGCCGCGTAGGCATCTCGCGCTCGACGCCAACACGTGGTATCAGAGCTGGTCGCCGGTCAAGGAAGGTTTTACAGCCTTAGGCGAAATCCAGGATGGCGTCAGGATCTTCAAGTACAGCTCCTCTCTATCTGGCCGATGGGTTCTCTCAAAATCGACCACCGAGGTTCGAAGGGGTAAATTACGGCTACTGGAAGAACCGGATGGAATTGTTCGTGGGGTCGACAGATCCCAAGCTGTGGGCAAGAGTAATCAAAGGTCCTTATGAGCTCAAGGCAGATCAAGAAAAGTGGAATGATGAAGACTACGAGAAATTTCAACAAAATTGCAAAGCCACCAATTTGATGTACTGCGCTCTCGGGCCTGAAGAATACCACAAGGTAGCTGGGTGCAAAACGGCCAAAGAAATATGGGATAAGCTACAAGTGACTTATGAAGGTACGTCCCAAGTCAAGACCTCCAGGATAAACTCGCTCAAGCACCAATTCGAGTTGTTTAAGATGGAGGAAGGGGAAACTATTCGACAGATGTACGAGAGGTTTACTAACATAGTAAACAGTCTGGAAAATCTTGGCAAAACCTACGAGAGTGGAGATTTAGTAAGGAAAATATTGTGGTGCTTACCAGAAAAATGGACTCCCAAGGTTACAGCTATTGAGGAAGCCAAAGACTTGGAGAAGCTAGCAATTGATGAATTGATCGGATCCCTGACCACACATGAAGACAAGTTGATGAAGGTTGGATCAGAAAAGGAGCCAACTGAAAAGGGAAAAAGAGGAATTGCTTTCAAGGCAATCAGTTCTGTGGAAGAATCAGAAGAACTGGATGATATGGAGGATGAGGAACTAGCTCTGCTTAGCAAGCAGATTAGTCGACTGATCAGGATTAGGAAAGAAAAGAGGATGGGTGGATCGAAGGCCAAAGAATCAGACAGAACTGAAGGAGTTACGAAGTTGGGACAGTCAAGGTCACTCTCTAAAGGAAGAAATGAAAATCCACAAAGCCTCAGAGGGATTAACTCAACTGGGTGCTTCAAATGTGGGAGAACGGGTCATATTAAAGCAGAGTGTCCCCTACTCAAAAAGGACAAAGCCTTCACTGCTACTTGGAGTGGGAGTGAAGATGAAGGAGATGATGATGATGAAGTGACTATACATAGGTCATATATGGCCATTGCAGAAGGAGTTGAAGAAGAAAGTGAAACTGCTTCTGCAGACAAGTTATCTCAGGTAAGTAACTCTAAACTTGATGATGTGTCTGATATAAATTATGATAGTGAAGATGAAATGTTAAATCAAACAATTAGAGAAATTCAGTCAGAATTTGATAATGTCAAGGTTAAATATCATAATTTGAAGAAAGAAAATGAACTGAACCTCTCGAAAATTCTTGTTCTGGAAAAACAGTTGGCTGAGTTTGAAGCTAATGAATTAGAAAACTCCAGGTTGCTAGTTCTTACTCAAAAAGAAAATGGATGTCTTCAGAAAGAAAACCTAGAACTAAAAAACCAGATTCATAGACTTACAATTCAACATGGGGGAGTTAATCACGCTAGAACTGGTAAACAGAATGGTTTAAATCTAGAATGTTTCTATTGTCATAAGAAAGGTCATCTTATTAGAAATTGTAAAAGAAGAATGTGGTCAGAAACTAAAAAGAGCATTGTGGTGAACAGAAACTTGTATTACTGGAATGATCATTCAAAACAAAAACCCAAGCTGGTCTGGGTTAGAAAAACAACGTAAGATTGTGTGTTTGCAGAGATGTCTTCAAGTGAGCATGGAGACATCCACCTGGATCATGGACAGTGGGTGCTCACATCATATGACGGGTAACAAGTATCTCTTCTCTAAACTTAAGTTAGGTAACTTTGGTAAAGTATATTTTGGTGATAATAACTCTGCTAATGTTATTGGAAAAGGTCAGGTTGGAGTATGTCCTTCTATTAACAATGTCATGCTAGTAAATGGTCTAAAACACAATTTAATGTCAATTAGTCAAATGTGTGGGAAGGATTGCAGAGTTGTGTTTGAACCCACCTTTTGTCATGTTGAGAACATGTTAACTAATCGAATTCTGTTTACTGGAAAACGTAATGGTAAGATATATACAATTGACCTAAATGATAAGGACAGCTTCAATGAAACATGTTTGATAAGTCTTGATAAAAATTTGCAAGAAGATTGGCATAGACGTTTAGGTCATGTAAATGTCAGAACCCTGTCCAAACTAGCTAGATTGAATTTGGTTAAAGGGTTGCCTAATCTAAATGAGAAAAGAGATTTCTTTTGTGATGCTTGTGCAAGGGGTAAGCAAACCAGATCTAGTTTTAAAAGCAAGAATATTATTTCTACTGCTAGACCTCTGGAATTGCTTCACTTAGACCTATTTGGACCCACTAATGTGACTAGTTATGGAGGAAAATCCTATGCTTTTGTGGTAGTGGATGATTTCTCCAGATTTACTTGGGTTTTGTTTCTGAGTAAAAAGGATGAAGCTTTTGAGTTGTTTAAGAATCTGGTCAAAAGAATTGAAAATGAAACTGGGTCAAAAGTTTACAGTATTCGAAGTGATCATGGGGGAGAATTTTCTTCTGATCCATTTGAAGATTACTGTAATGAGCTAGGGATTTTTCATAATTTCTCAGCTCCTAGAACCCCTCAGCAAAATGGGGTGATGGAGAGGAAAAATAGGACTCTAATTGACATTGCTCGTACTATGTTGCATGATTATGGAGTTCCTAAATATTTTTGGGCTGAAGCCATCAACACTGCATGTTATGTCATCAACAGAGCATTGATTAGAGCTGGTCTTAATAAAACTCCCTATGAAATTTGGAAGGGAAGGAAACCAAATCTAAGTTATTTTCGAACCTTTGGATGCAAATGCTTTGTCCTAAATTCTAAAGATAACTTAGGAAAATTCGATGCTAAGTCAGATGAGGCAGTGTTCCTAGGGTATTCAAGCTCCAGCAAAGCTTACAGAGTCTTTAATAAACGGACCCTCAAGGTTGAGGAGTCCATTAATGTGTTATTTGATGAGACTGTCATTGAGATTTCAGATGAGATAGATGATGACGACTTTGGTCTTGGGAGGCAAGTTGTGTTACAAGATGACCAGACTAAGCAGGCTGATAGAGAAAATGATCGAGGGAAGATAGATCAGAGTCAACAATCAGAAGCTGATGTAAATCAGGAACCTAAGGAGCTAGTACCAGAAATTGATGAAAATCTGGGTTCGAATGAGTTTCATCCCCCAGCGTACATCTCCAAAAGACATCCTCCTACTCAGGTAATTGGATCAATGGACAAAGGTATGGTTACTAGATCAAAAGCTCTCTCTTCACATATAGCTTTTGTTTCTCAAATTGAACCTAGAAATGTTGAGGAAGCTTTGCTTGATGAATTTTGGACAGCGGCTATGTTTGATGAAATGCATCAGTTTGAAAGAGCAAATGTTTGGGAACTTGTCCCAAAACCTGAAAATAGAGTCATCATAGGGACTAAATGGATATATAAGAATAAAACTGATGAAGTGGGAATCATAACCAGAAATCGAGCCAGATTAGTTGCCCAAGGGTATAGTCAGGAAGAAGGGATTGACTTTGATGAAACGTTTGCTCCTGTGGCTCGATTAGAAGCAGTTAGAATGTTGTGTGCATTTGCTAGTTCTAACAAATTTAAATTGTATCAAATGGATGTCAAAAGTGCTTTTTTGAATGGGGATTTGAAAGAAGAAGTATATGTGTCACAACCACCTGGTTTTGAAGATCATCTCTACCCTAATCATGTGTATAAACTTAAAAAGGCACTTTATGGATTAAAACAGGCACCTAGAGCTTGGTATGACAAATTAAGCTCACTTCTCTTAGTTAATGGTTTTCAGAGAGGAGCAGTTGATAAAACACTCTTTACTAAACGAGAGTCTGAACACTTGCTTTTGGTTCAAGTATATGTAGATGACATTATCTTTGGTGGAACCAGTAAAGACATTGTCTTGCTTTTGAAGAATTAATGAAAACCAACTTTGAAATGAGTCTTATGGGTGAGTTGACATTTTTCTTAGGATTACAAATCTCTCAAACACCTAAAGGGATTTTCATTTGTCAGACTAAGTACATTCTGAATATGCTCAAACGATTTAATTTGGGAAACCTGAAATCTGCCATCACTCCAATGGCCTCCTCCCTGAAAATTAACAAAGATGAGTCTGGTAAAGCTGTGAACGAGA